CGTACCGGACCGCAAACGGCCACAGAAAATGAGGGGCAGCCGCATGGATCAAGGAGGTACGAGCGACCTCCATGACCAGGCCAATGCGGCGCTCCGCAACCCCATTCTGCTGTGGAGAGGCCGGAAGCGTGAACGACTGCTCAATGCCGTGCTCAGCACAGTAGGCTGCCAAGAGGTCGGAGGAGAACTCACCACCTCTGTCAGAGTGCAAGCGCAGCACAGGAAAGTCCGAGCGGAAACGCTCGATGAGCTGGAGACGAGCTCTGCGGATCCAAGGGATCAAAACATCAGGGACCTCACCCTTGGTGCGCAAGGGGAAGACCGTGGTGTAGCGCGAGTAGTCGTCAACAACGATCAGGAAGTACCTCTCTTGACCCTGACCACGGACGCGGGCTGGGCCCCACACGTCCATGTGGAGCGTCTGCAAAGGAGCAGTCGTCGGGGGAAACGAGGAGGAGTGAGGAGCGGCGCGCTGCCGCCCCTCGACACAGGGAAGGCAGGGAGGAGCAGGCGAGGGTGGGAGAGGAGGGAGAACCCTGGGAAGACCAGAGACAAGGTACCGGGAGTGCATGGCACGAAGGCGCTGCACAGACGGGTGGCCAAGTCGGTGGTGCCAGAGGACAGTCTCGTGCGCTAAAGAGCGACACGAGCAGGGGGCAGACAGCTGACCTGACGCGAACGCAGACGCAGACGCAGACGCAGCGACCTGAGGGGAGGCAGTAGTCAGTGTGTACAGGTCCGACCCCGGCTGCCGGGTGAAGGTAGCCAAGTGGCGGCCCGTACGAGCACACGTGCAGTGGGTCACACGCTCGTAGGCAGGGGTGAACTGGTGAACACCCCCGTCCTGGAGAGCAGAACCTGCCACCAAGTTCGTGGAGAACGAGGGGAGGTGGAGACCTGACAGTGTGCCCGACGGGACCGCAGGGCAGGGAAGGACAGTGGAGGAGGTCGCAATGACCGGACCCCCACAGGGGTCAGCAAGGGAGACAGCAACTGGCCGAGCAAGGGGCTCAAGGGCAGTGCGGTCACGAAAGAAACGGCGAGAGGCACCTGAATCCAGCGTGAAGGTGTGCAGTGCTGCAGTCGACACAGTACCAGGGGGGGGAGACACGCACGCACCTAGAGCAGCAGCCTCACCAGCACCTGGGGTAGCAGACACGTGGGTACCTGGAGCAGCAGACGCACTCGTCCTAATGCCCGGGTCCGGCGGGACACTCAGGTACTCAGAACCCTCTCCACTAGTAGACATCACATACATGGCAGAGAGAATAGCATCAAAGTCTAGAGCATAGATATCAATACCCTTCTTCAGGAGATCAAGCCAGCGGGGCAGCTCAGTGGCCTGAGGGAACTGAACACGCCAAGCGTTGCTCAGACGAGCGAAGCAACGCTGTGTGGCGTGCGGTCCCCCACACGGCTGGCCAGTGCGGTCACCAGTGCGAATGACGTACGTGCAGCTAAGGCCACCCCCCCCCCCCGTGCTGAGAGTACCACTCACGGACCTCCTGGGGCGAGGGAGTGTGCTGCTGTCCCTGGCCACCGCCAGTGCCGCCACGCCCACCACTCCCGCCACCACCTCCTCGACCACCCCAACCCCTGCCGCCGCCTCGTCCACCGCCACCCCCACTACCTCCTCCGCCCCGGCCACCTCCCCCGCCGCTGCCGCCACCCCCACCACCGCTGCCACCTCCCCCACCCGCGCCACCCCCCCCGCCACCACCTCCCCCACCACCGCCACCCCCGCTGTCACCACCACCGCTCTTGCCCCCCTTGCCCTTACCGCTGCGGCGTCCGCCCGAAGCAGACGCAGTCCCGACCTTCTCAGCACCAAGGAGGTCGACAGCAGCAGCAGAGGCGACAGAGGGAAGAAGGGGGGAGGGAGAACACCCCTCAAAGAACGGGGTGCGGGGGTCACCGCGAGAGGCACCTACAGCGACTATGCTAGTCTCCGCTGCAAGGAGTTCCTTCTCGAGGAGGGCAATGGTGAGCTCGGTGGGGCAGCGAGTGAGGAAGTGGTCCCTGACTGAGCGCAGCGAGTCAGGGAGGCGCGTGACTAGGTGGTAGAGAGTGATCCAGAGCGGGGGTGGGTTCGTGGCGAGGAACTCATCAGGCATAGCGGCGCGGAAGCGAGCCTCACTAGTGCGGAGGTGGGTAATGAGGTCAGCGACAGTGAGAAAGGAAGCTAAGTCGGGGAACAGGTAGGGAAGAGAGAGACGGCCTAGAGCAGCAGAGGCCGGTGAGGAGTAGCGGGCAACGACAGCAGTGTACAGTGCCTGTGCAGTCTTGTGCTGCCCAAAGTGCTCGCGCTCATCTATCGGCAGAGAGTTGCGGATAGCGAAGCGAGCATGGGCGTCACGAGTCTGCCACTGTGAGCGAGCAGTGCTGTCGGCAGTAGCAGCAGGAGCAGTAGCGTGGCCTAGGGCGTGATCGTACAGCGAGATGTCTTCCTTGGCAGTGAGCTGTAGGAAGAGGTGTAGGTCATCAAGCCAGGTGTCGAGCTTCACTGGGCGCCCCTCATCATCGAAGGCTAGCACTGGAGGGCTAGCCATGGTAGTAGCAGTAGTAAAAACAGCAGGATTAGTAGGTAGGTAGGGCGGCGCGGCTCGGTACAGGTAGGGCGGCGCGGCTCGGTATAGGTAGGGCGGCGCGGCTTGGTACAGGTAGGGCGGCGCGGCTCGGTATAGGTAGGGCGGCGCGGCTCGGGTCGGGAGGCGCGGCTCGGTTCGGGCGGCTCGGGTCGGGCGGCGCGGCTCGGGTCGGGCGGCTTGGGTCGGGCGGCCGGCAGGACAATTACAACCAATCCCACCTCCAGAGCGTGCTTGGCAGCAGGTGACGATGGACTTCGTCACGGGGTTACCGGCCGGGGCGAGTGCGAATGACGCGATCCTGGTCGTCGTCGATCGACTAACGAAAATGGCACATTTCGCAGCATGCAGGAAATCAATCACAGCCGAGGAAACAGCCCGACTCTTCATCGCCACCGTCGTTCGACTGCACGGGATACCAGCGTCAATCATCAGCGACAGGGACACGAAGTTTACCAGTAATTTCTGGCGGAACCTGTGGCAGCAGTTCGGCACGCGACTTCAATTCAGTTCATCGTATCACCCCGAAACCGACGGACAGACAGAACGGACAAACCAGACTATGGAGCAACTCATTCGAGCCACGTGTGACGATCCAAACACGTGGGAGCAGCAGCTGCCTCTCATCGAGTTCGCATACAACAACGCGCCATCTGCCACGACCCAACAGTCGCCATTTTACTTGAATTACGGACATAACCCAACAGTACCCATGACACCAAACCCCGACAATCCCGTTCCACGCGCACAACAGTTCGCCGAGATTTTGCAAGCAGCACGGACCAGGGCAGCAGAAGCAATTAACAAATCAAATATCATCGCTAAACGCAACGCCGATCGCCACCGCAGACCCGTCACTTATCAGTCCGACGACCTCGTTTTACTCGACACTCAGAACCTCCGCCTGCCCATCACTCCCAAACTCCGCCCTCGATACTGTGGGCCATTTCGAATCAGTCACATGATCACACCTGTCACCGCACACCTCCTCCTTCCTGCTGACTGGTATGTCAGCCCCTCGTTCCACGTCAGCCTGCTTCGCCCTTACGTAACATCCACCAGCCAACTCCCACGACATCGACCATCCAGCATGTCACGACCACCAACCGAACCAGTCATCACCCCCGACAAAATCTTGAGCCACAGAGTTCGCGACCCTCGAGGGGCCCGAAAAGTTGAGTTTCTGATTCGCTGGAAAGATCGTACACCCACCGAGGACAACTGGGTTCCCCTGGACAGAATTGAAAACCACCCTGTCGTCACCGACTACCTACGCAGCCGAAACTTCAAAGACGTCCACGCGCTTTCGTAAGGAGGACCTTTTGAGAGGGGGGGGGGGGTAGTGTAAGGAAATTCCCTTTTCCTTACTTCGCATCTCTGCTCAACGCGTACATCACTGTAGCACCTCAGTCAGCACCGTTACCACTCACAACCATCGCATCATTCATCATCCCGCCATTTTCGCACATCGCATCCCGACCTCACGGCTCGGCTCGTAACCCGCGCTCCGGGCCTACGCTTCGACACGTTCCCAACCTCAGTCCCAGGCTCGTCGTGCGACCATTACCGTTACCACTGTAGTTTCGCTATATATTCTTCGCTCATACCTTCGCTCATTGGACTCTTGCTTCGATAGTGCAATTCTCGCTCGTTCACTCAATTGCACTCGTAACAGGTACCCACCTTCACTAGAAGTGTCCAAGAGGAGGGAGATATGAAGTGCTATTATTTTCTCCTGCATGCAAGTCAGGCTAAGGGCGCATTCCTGTGAGGAGACAAATGTCTCAATCGCTTTGCAACACACAAAAACAGCATAAACTGTAGCGTGTCCCAATTGCGAGTCGTTTTTCCACGACCATATTTGTATTTTTTATTGGTCAGCGTGAAACGCGCCGACGTCGCTGACGAATTGTAATCCGACTCGTCAATGTGAAAAATTCGCACGCGGCTCGAAATGTCAATGCACCTGGACAGCCTGCAGTGCCAATTTCGTGCGGGAAAAAATCCCGCGCGTCGAAACCACACCCCAGCCAAGCGGTTGAAGAAAGGAATGTACAGTCATTTGTGTCACCCAATCAAATGCGCACAACTATAAGTTTCGCCGGGTCGCCTAGAGTCGCGATACATTGGTTGTTTGTGACACAACTTTGGCAAATTTGCAGACGCGACTCGGGAAAACGGGGATTGAGACACAAGTGTCCCTGCAGGAATACACCCTAACACTATACCGAAGAACTCGGAATCTCGATCATTCTGAAATCTAGTATGCACATTTGGTGTGTCAGGTGCTTCTTTGTCTTCCTCGTCTGATCTCACGCTTTCTTCAGATCGCTAAGCACCATGGGCGGCAACGTGATAGTAGTAAGAGGGAAAGGCGATTGGGATCGTTGTCACGAGCAGTCCAGGTCGAAGAAAATGCTGGTGGGTGACACATGTCAACATTCACATCCTGCCCCGCTCGTTCGTTCTTTGCTTCAACATCCTCATCTATTCACGAACATATGTTGCATCGCTGGTTTTTATCCAGCGTCCTGTACACCGAATAGTGATTTTCGTTCGCTAAATTTCTAAATGACCTTCGTTTGGCCTCGTGTGTGATGGGGTGGTTTGCGCGGGAGGGATCTGGGTGCGGAAACGGGGGGAGAAGGGTGGGTGGGGAACGGTGGGAGGTGGAACGGGTGAGGGAGGGGGACGAGCAGCTGGTGGTGGACTTCACGGCAACATGGTGCGGGCCATGCCGCATTATAGGGCCTGTCTTCGAACAGCTGTCATCCCAATACACCAACGCGATATTCGCCAAAGTAGACGTTGATGAGAACGGGGTATGTCACACCGCGCTAAGAAGACTACGCAGACAAATTTATTTGTCGGTGTAAGAATGATGACCACCTTTAGTCTTTCTGGTTTTACCCGTTCTGCCGCTGCTCTATCTCTCTGTCTCCCTCTCCCCCTCGCCCATCTCATGCTCCCTCCTTCAATTCCGTTCCTGGTTTCCCTCTGGTCCACCTTTGTCAACGAGCAGGACATATCGCAGGACAGTGGAGTGAAGGGCATTCCCGCCTTCCACTTCTTTAAAGGTGGCGAAAAGGTGGACGAGCTGGTGGGGGCTGATTCCAACCGCCTGGAGGTGCTTATAAAGAAGCATTATACTGCAGGGTCGTTCCAAGGCCAAGGATACACCCTTTGTATGTATTCTGAATTATCCCCCCGCCCCTGCTTGTTATCCTCACTTTCCCTTTCCCAGGCCTTTTGTTTTCTACTACTGAAGAACGTACTGGCGTTAGGCCGTGAGGTTTCAGTTTCATTTGTCTGATACAGCATACTTTAGCGCCTCCCCCCTACCCCCCCAGCATAATTTATTTAATGCATGATGGGCTGAAAAGGGTTGTTTTGCTTGTCTTCATTAAATCCACACCAATTAGTCATTTCTTCTTCTTTCCGTTTTCTCAGCGGGGCCTTCCTCTTCGCAACAGACTCCTGTTGTTCCAGCTTTGGTTGCTCCGAAGCTGCCACACGTGGATGACACTTTACCAACCACTTCCATTCAGTTTCGAATGCCTGATGGCTCGCGTTGTGTGGGACGCTTCAACACAACTGCCACAGTTGCAGACCTGAGATCATTCGTTGCAGCCTCCGCCTCACTCCCAGCTTCGTTCCAACTGCTTTCTTCATTCCCACCTCGTCCCCTGGATCCAGCTGCTGATGCCACGACACTCGAGGCGGCTGGCCTGCTTAATGCTGCCCTGTCTGTTCAATTTTGACAGGCTGTGAATATTTACCCAGCGGATTTATGGAAGGTGACTTTTACTGAAAGCAATGCTTCAGCCAGATGCATTGTTCTCACGTCTTTGCCCTTTTATGACATGGGTGACAGAGGGAAATTGAGGCCAGCAGGTGGGGCCTGGGCTGAGTCTGGACTGGACTCTGAGTCCAATTGAATAATGTCATCAGTAGGATAGGATGCTTAATTCTACACCCAAGGGGTAACGACCATCTCAACTGTTCTAGAGTACTGAAAGGAATTTTCTCGATATTCCGTAGAGCATCCGGCAACATCGCGTACAGCAGCAGCCGTTGTTCGCCCGTTACAGCTAACGGGGCTTCGCCCACTTCGCGCGCACTCTTTTCACCAAACTATGCACCGCTGGCCCGGCCGTGTAAGCCTACGCTTCGGGACTAGCCCGAGCCTCGATGCCAGCCTAGCACTAGCTAACTCGCACGCACCGCGTTACCGTTTGCATGTTTCGCATATAAATGTTCGCTCATGCCTTCGCTCACATTTTGTACTCGTTTGACACTTAGTGCAATCCTCGCTACCTCGATTCATTGCACCCGTAACACTTGGTATTCAGAGCTACTTTCTTTCGGACCGCGCATCTCCGCACCCCATGAAATCAACTTTTGATTTTTCACTCGAAGGGACTCACACACCTTAGCCCTTAGAAGCCGCTGTCCTCACATTCTCTCGTAAATGCGTGCAACCACGACTGCGCCTAGACTAAGATGGGCCGACGCCCTTCGTAATGACCGGACATATCGACGTCACGACGCTCACGCAAGACCGCCTGAACGAACTACTGCGCCAGCTACATGAGAGTTCAGAAGAAATTGCGACGCTGACGGCGGAATGCACCTCCCTGCAAAATGACGTCACACGAGCGCAACAAGCACAATCACAAGCACCTGGCACTCCGGAACAACCTGCACCATCAGCATCGCAGCACGGAAGCATGGGGCAACTCGCGAGCGTGGCCAGTGATGGCATCGTCCGCCACGACGGAGATGACGACCACGGCACGACACGCCCCGAAGCGACGAATGCGGCCAGGAGTCAACCCCGCGTAACGATTTCTGCACCGGCCAGCGAATCAACACTGCCGTCGCCGATGCCGCTGAAGCCGCAGCGTCCGCCATGCTTTGACCCGAGTCAACGGGGTGGTCCTACTGTTCAGGCGTGGTTGTTTACGATGAACGTTTTCTTCGACGCCAACTACGTCTCGGAGGATACGGCGAAAATTCGCTACGCCGTGTCGCTGCTGCGATGACCCGCCATGGATTGGTGGCATGTCATCGTCACGAAGCCGAAGCTCCTGAGCAGCCATGGCTCCTGCGTAGATCTCAGCCTCACAACTGGAGCCGAGAAGGGAAGACGAGCGAGTAGCCCGCCACGAAACAGAGCCGCAACCAAGGCTGAAGGTGTAACCCTGTGACGACCGCTGCGTAGCCTGGTCGTCAGCCCAAGAAGCGTCTGCGTGCCCAGTGAGGACCACTGGACTCTGCCCTCCAAGCACAAGCCCCATGCCCGACGTACTGCACAAGTAGCGCAACACCCTCTTCGCTGCAGCCATGTGCTCCGGTCTGTGTCTCCCAGGAGCAACATAGCGTGCAAGAATGCTAAGAGGGTATGCAAGGTCAGGTCGTGTGCAGGTCATCAGGTACATGAGGCAGCCAACAAGCTCTGGGTACGGGCCACTCGACTCTACAGACTCATCCGAAGGCAGAGCTGAGAGCGAGTGGCGAGTAGACAGAGGAGTGGCCTGAGGCGAGGAGTACGTGAAGCCGAAGCGCTGAAGGACCTGCTGCACCATGTGTGACTGAGTCAGGGTAATGATGCGGCGTGCTCTGTCTCGGGTGATCTGCAAGCCAAGGTAGCTGCGCAGTTCACCCAGGTCTGTGCACGTGTGTCTCTTCTGCAGCTCGGACTTCACGTGGGCGAGTCCAGTAGTGTCAGCAGTGGCAAAGACCAAGTCGTCGACGTACACGAGGATGTAGAACGGCGGCAAAGAGGTGTCGGTGCGCAAAAACAGCGACGGTTCGGCAGTAGAGGGAGCAAACCCAAGAGCCGCAAGCGTAGTCCTCAGTGTGTCGTGCCACTCACGCGGTGCCTGGCGAAGACCGTAGACTGGCCGCCGGAGGCTCCACTGGGTGCCAGGAGGAAAAGTCCCAGTGAAGCCAGGTGGGCGGCGCAGCCAGATCTCCTCATGCAGACTACCCTGCAAGAAAGCAGTGCTGAAGTCAAGAGAGTGAAGCTCGTAGTCGCGCTGAGCGGCTATGTGCAGCAGCACCCGAAGAGTGGTCACCTTTGGGGTGGGAGAGAAGGTCTGAAAGTAGTCAACTCCCTGCCGCTGACTGAAGCCTCGTGCAACGTAACGCGCCTTGAAGACAGGCGGAGAACCTGGCGGCCGCTTCACCCTGAAGATCCACATGCCACTGACGATGTTCGCCCCAGGTGGGGGAACCGCGTCAACGTAGGTGCCTGTGGACTTCCAGGAAGCCATCTCTGCATCCATAGCTACCTGCCACTGAGAGGAGTAGGGACCCTCTATCGCCTCCGCGTAAGAGCGCGGAGTCGGGATGTCAAGTGCATCCGGGTCTCCCTCAGGGGTAAGCAGTACGGACACGAGATGAGGTGAAGCAGCAGCCAGACACTGGAACTCCTCCTGCCTGTCCTCAAGGACGTCCGTGCCAAGGGCACACTCACCCCCGACGGACGGAGGACAGACAGACTCAGACTCAGCGACAAGACTAGCAGCGTAGTCTAGACGACAGCGAGCAGCAAAGTCGAAGAGCTCAGCAACTAGGGCAGACGCAGCAGTGGACTCAAAAGAAGGGTCAGTGACTACAGTAGCAAGGAGACGCGTGACAGTAGGACTGGCAGCACGAAGAGAGTCCGATTCCGGGTCCGCAAGAGCAGGAAGAGAAGACTCAGGAGGAGAAGGCAAAGGGGCACGCAGAGGAGCAGTGGACGGACGCAGAGACATCCGGTGCGTGCCAGGGACAGGAGGAGGACGCTGACGCGAACCGCGACCACTAGTGCGAGCAGCACGGACAGGCGACGCAGGGCGAGACGCAAGCTCACGACGCTCAGCAAGACCTCCAGTAGGACCAGTGTAGGGAGACGGAGCAGGCAGTGGGGAGGCCGGCAGAAACTGTAGCTGTGACGGGTCAGGCAGTGGACACTCTAAGGGAGGAGGAGGACCAGTAGAAGGCGGGAGACCAAGAACCTGCTGAAGGAGCGGAACGAAGTACGGCCGAGGCCGCGCGGCGACTCCAGACACAGCAGGGACAGCACCAGCACCCCCAGCGGCAGCGCCAGCGCCAACAGCACCTCCAGCTGCAGTACCTCCAGCAACACCAGCAGCACCCGCAGCAGGACCGCCGCCAGGACTGACAGCTGTAGCCTCAACGCCAACACCCTCAGCAGCTCCAGCTCCAGTCGTACCCGCAGGCCCAGCAGCTCCTGCACTCCCAGTACGAGCACCTCCGGGACCCGCGGCACCAGCACCCTCAGCAGCCGAAGAAGCTCCAGCTCCAGCAGAACGCCTCCAGCACCCGGCAAACCACTCGCGCAGCTCCTGTGAAGAGAGTGGCTCTCGCCGAGACGAAGCACCCGGAGGACCTCCAGGCCCAGCACCGCCAGACGCCACACGAGCAGGCCCAGCGGCCGCCGGCTCCGCACCCCCAGGCTCAGCAGCTCAAGGCGTGGCACCCCCAGGCTCAGCACCCCCAGGCTCAGCACCCCCAGGCGTAGCACCCCCAGGCTCAGCACCCCCAGTCTCAACACCCCCAGGCTCAGCACCCCCAGAGTCAGCACCCCCAGGCTCAACACCCGCAGCAGCACCAGAGTCACCAGTAACCTCGACAGGCTCGACTGCGTCTACCTGGGACACACCTGAAGGGGCAGGACCCTGAGGGGGGAGGGGGTCTACCGGGGGGGGACCTGGCACAAGGAAGAGCGGTGGCGGGGGGAGGGAAGGAGTGCAGTAGGGGAAGAGGCGGTAGTAGGGGACCGACTCGTCAAACGTGACGTCCTGGGAGGACAGAACACAACGAGAGGTGGGGTGGTAGAACTGCCACCCTGGCGCGTCAAGGGGGAAGCCAAGGAAGACGCAAGGAGCAGCACGAGGGGACAGCTTGTCCGCAGACAAGTCGCGAACAAACGCCCGAGATCCCCAGACACGGAACGCAGACGCATCGCCTACCTTCCCCGTCCTCAGCAAAGCTGGGGAGGTCTCCGGCATGGAGACCCTGGGGTGAAGGTTGATCTGATGCGCCGCGTACCGAACCGCAAACGGCCATAGAAAATGGGGGGCAGCCGCATGCATCATGGACGTACGGGCGACGTCCATGACCATGCCAATGCGGCGCTCAGCAATCCCATTTTGCTGTGGAGAGTCCGGAAGCGTAAAGGTCTGGCGGATGCCTCGCGCACGACAGTAGGCTCGCAGAAGGCCAGAGGAGAACTCTCCGCCTCGGTCAGAGTGCAGACGCAGAACAGGAAAGTCCGAGCCGAAGCTCCTCCTGAGCTGGAGACGAGCTGCGCGGATCCAGTCAATCAACACCTCAGTGACATCACCCTTGCTGCGCAAGGGGAAGACCGTGGTGTAACGCGAGTAGTCGTCAACCACCAGCAGGAAGTAGCGCTCGTGACACTGTCCACGGACGCGGGCCAGGCCCCACACGTCCATGTGAAGCGTCTGCAGCGGGGCCTCTGTCGGGGGAAACTGAGAGGAGTGAGGGGCAGCCCGCAGCCGCCCCTCGACACAGGGGACGCAGGTAGGGCCAGGCCCCGGAGGAAGGGGAGGGAGGGACCGGGGAAGACCAGAGACAAGGACACGGGAGGCCATGCCTCGGAGACGAGGCAGGGAGGGCTGACCAAGGCGGTGGTGCCAGAGGAGAGTCTCGTGAGACAGGAGGCGACACGAGCAGGGGGCAGACTCAGGACCAGACCTGGACGCTGCAGCAAACACCTGAACCGACG